AAGAACACCAAATCTAACAATGAACCGGAACTCCATCCGGAAGTTGCTCTGGGTGGGGAGTTAAGCTCAACTCCCCGCCCGACGTCATCATCGACTGCGGTCGGGAGATTACGAGAAGAAAGTTAGCAATCGAATGGAGCGGAGTGCGCGTAATAGAAGTGGACCCAGCGAAGCTAGCCGCAAGAAATGAAGTTACTCCGCGTAGCACTGAAATCTGCAAAGTTAGATGGAAAGTCAATGCGTCACCCGGATGCCCAGGGTAGGGGGACTGGAGTTGAATATCAGAGTGTTTTAGCGGATTTATGTTTAGCGTTCGACGTCGGTGGAGGGTTGTTCATTCCCGGGGTGAATATTTCACGCGTGAATATTTCCGACAAGTCGGCAACGGATGTACAGACCGACATGGCGATTGATGCGCGAATGGACAGGTAAACACAGGCAGATCGAGCCAGGAAGTGTCTCGTGCTCACCCTTGGAGGTTCGCCCCCGATATTCCGACTTACCCGAACGACGCGATGTTGGCTGGTGTCTCGCGACAGGTCGACCTCATGAATTTTCATCGGATATCGAGATTCGGCAGGAACCGCGAGCCATTAGATGATCTCCTTAACTATCCACATCGAGTCCGATACTCGGGATATATTGGGTCGAGGCAAGTGCTTCAACCCCATGAGTGATTAGGCCGATGATTAAAAATGCTAGACCGAAAGCTCCTCGATATATGCAGGCGGGACGTATATTTCGGGCAAACTCCGAAATCCATCATCTCTACCCCAGTCGAAATGCTAATTGTTCCCCGCAGTTATCAAGGATTGAGCTCCAATCTAGTGTAGGGCTCGATCTTCAACCCGCTATTCGCTAAGATTGTGTCTCCGAGAGAACACATCGGTTCGGCGGTCGCAGAGCCGAATGATCGGTGCTAGCCCGTCAGGGGGTGAGGAAAGTCTGAGCTCCGTCTCGGGAAAGTGTGTTTCAAGCGAGCGAGAAGTAATGTATTCCGAGTCACGCGCGCGTCTCCTCACCACCGACAGTAGCAGTAGAAGCGGCGGTGAAGGAATCGTCCCGTCCATGACCGCGTTCATTATAGGCTAGGAGTCTCGACAAATCCCGAAGATTTCCCCTGTCACACCAGACCGGTTACAGAAGCGGTTCTCTGCTTGACAGTTAGCGCATGCCTCGATACAATCTTGGGCGACGAAAGGCAAGTATGACAGATCGAAGGAAATGCCGAGGAACTTCGACCAGGGAAACATAGGAGCTGGAAATTGCGACGTTGTGGGGGTTCCCGTAAAAACAAACAAGAGACGGGACGGAATCGGAGAGCTTCGAGGATCTTGAGGCGATGGATGCAGGGAAAACTTTTTTCTTGGCTTTTGTTGGGCGTTTTATGATCTTGTCATGGTTGGCCCGTTCGCGGCGATATCGGCCGCCGTGGAGGCTTTTTTGGCGACTTTTCCTCGAGGAGCCTCCCGATGTCTTGTCCTGTCGCTCGCAACTTGGTATGCGGTGCTCGTTGCGGCAAATCCTGGTTTTTGGCTTCTGCGCTTCTCGTACTGCCGATCTTTCGAGAAGGGGTAATGGGAGATGTAGCTGACTCGCCGGCGACGGAGGAGAACGGGAGAGGGCTTCGGATTTTTAAATTCACCCCCGACAACATTTTGCTGATTGTAGCACCGGGGCGAGGCGAACAACCGCAGACAGTTTCATTGTCTTTATTGCTCTCGTTCATCGAAGGCGGCTTGAACCGCTTTCGGAGCCCTACGTCTTCGAATGTTTCGACTCACGTAGTTTTCATCGACTTTTTCATCGCTCTGAGCGCTGGAGGAACTTCTGCGATTCTCTGCTTTCTCGTGGTCCCGCATCAGGTGATTGGAAATAAGAGGAATCAGGATTCGGGAACAAATCCGATTGGACGCGATCACGAGTGTCTCTGATTCACGCAAGACGAGACCTCGTGATTATTCACATTTGGCCAGATTCGGCTGGGAAAGCACGAATAGTGAGGAAAAATGGAATCAGCCTTCCGAGCTAAGATTCGCCGCCGATTGAGGCGGGCGTCCTCGGCTCGTTGGCGGTGGCGATGAGAATATGCTTCTCCGCGTTCTTTTGGAGAGGAAGTGAATTTGTGTGCACGTGGAGTCGATCCCGAGGGCCTACGATCTCTGCCTCGCTTCGGATTCTCGATCGATGATATGGGATGGTTTATTTGAATATCGAATCTTGGAGGAAACAAAGGGCGTCGGTCGGAGTGCCGGCACCTGCTCTCCGACGTTTTATCAAGGATCGCTCCTTCCCGGGACTGTTTCTCTGTTTGCTCTCGGATCGGCTTTCGTTTCATTCACAGCGTGGATCCTTGAGACATTGTTCCTCTGTTGTACTTAGCGTGCAATCTCTAGGATCGTTCCCCTTCCCGATCTCTCCTCCCTTCTGACCCTTGCCAAAATCCCTTTCCGCTCGAATCTCACGTGCAGAGTACGGGAACTCTTCAGGAGGATGTGGAGACTCGGGAGAATGGAGTCGGGACTACCTGTCTGTGAGTTAACGAAGCGGGCGCTCCTCTTCAATTTGTGAGATCTTCAGTGCAATTAGAAATCAAACGGAAGGACTCGACAATGTGAAGGAAAATAAGGGACGAGAACAAGAACGCGTATGCTTGGAATGCGCCAGCTTCGGATAGGGATGTGAGGATACTGCGATGGGATTCTAGAATATGGGAAAATCGTCGACGACGTCATTGGTTGCGATGACCGCGGTCAGGGTGATCGGCGTTGTCTTGCTGGTCTTCGCGGTAGTTGGGTCGTTGGATGCCGTCCCGGAATGTGATTTCAATTCAATGTGCAATTGTCACAATGCGATGGTCAGCTGCGTGGGCCTCAGGATATTTTCTCTCAAAGGTAAGTCGGATGACCGAAGTTTTTTCGTCCCCGTCACACTCGACTCGGCATATATTTTTCTTTCCGCTCGATTTCCAACACTATGGAAGACTCTTTCCGCTCTATTTCCAACACTATGGAAGACTCTCCGCTGGAAAGTCCACCGGAACTTGAGCGAGCGAAACTTCTCTCGATTGCGTTCCACCACTCCAACGTTGCCTTGGAATCAAACAAGGATCATCCCGCCCCCCATAGTCCCACAATCGACCGGATTTCCGAAGCCGCGTCGAGCGCGGATCACCTTTGCTCTCCTCGAGACTCAAGCAGCCTCCCTCGTTCCTCCGGAATGTACGGAGAGAGCTCGACGTTCGTTTGCATCGAGCTCGACATCCCGGCTCTAGCGGTGATTTCTCGACAGGGATCGCGTAGGTAGGAGCTCGGAGCACAGCCAACCACTCCGCAGATCCGAAGGAACGGTCCTTCGGTCGATATCCCCAAGTTATACGAATGGGGAGCTCAAGAACGAATTTAGCCGCGGTAATCTCTGGTCTCCGATTATATGCACCAGAAGGTGATATCACCGATCCAGAGCCGAGTTTTCCGCTGAAAGAAAATCCCGAAATCGCCTCCGGGAGAAAGATTCATCCGTTGAAGAACACTTGCCAACTTGAGACTTCCCCCTGAAACTGCCTCCTGCACACGTCCAATAAGCGACAAGTAGAGGACGACGACGCTTCGAGCAGAAAACAAATCCTCTTCGCTCTCGGGATCGCCTCGGACCCCGAAAGTCCGCCGGCGAGTATCTTGAAACGCGCGGACCTGTACCCCGCAGAGAATCAATTGTTGTCAAGTTAGCTGAGAGTTCGTTGACGCTTCACAAGCGCGCCCAGTTTGGCACCCTCATGCGTCGCACCCACTCCGTACGTGTTTATCGTCATGGATGTATCCACGAGCTCTCTTTTTCTCTGTCTCGAAGCCACGGGCTCGTTCACGTGTCGCATGTGTTGTTAAAAGTTTTGTAATGAAATTTACCAATTCGTCTGTCGTCACCTAGCACCCACGAGCGAGCGAGCAACCGACCGGACGGGCGGGCGGCCACTCGACCCAGAGGCTTGTGCAGTGTTCCCTGAGGGACCGCTGGTCTCTATTAGACCGCGTGCACTCTCCTACAGATTCCTTCAACCATTTGTTCGTTCCTTCGTTCATTCACGGATCAAATCACCCTGTCCTCGCATTCATTCAATCACTCACTCAGTCCGTCTAGACGCATACTACCCGAGTGCATGATGTTCATTCAGTTTTTGTTCTTACAGCGCGCAAATCATTCGGGCAAAATGGCTGGATGGGCATTTTGACGATAAATACACATGTCGCCCACTCAATAGAACCAACCCATTCTAATTCTGAATGATTGTTCTCTCTCACCCCCAATCGCTCATTGTACATATTTTATTGTGAGGCGTATTTTCACAGCACTCGAGGAATCCAATGCCCACCGAGAAATTTACTCGACCCAATCCGATGATTTTCCGGAGCCGAACATCGATCAATTCACTCTCGAAAATTCCAGAGGACCAAAGCTAGCCAAGTGCCGCGTTGAAGCGTTTGAGCACCCGACTACGCCCCGTCCTCCCGGATAAGTGCGATGAGTGGGGCACGCTCGACGACTTCTGAATTTTGAGGTTCTCGGGTCCGCTTCCGTGTTTCTGAATCCTTCGCGACTCTCGTATTTGTGCGCTTTCTCCGAATTTGGAAACTTTGCGCTTCCGACAAAATGGAACACCTGAACATGAGAGAGGAGAGTTCGGAGAAACTAAGTAGCAGCCAGGCTACCCGAACTCTTCAAGTGGAAGGCCGTTGGAAATGCATTAAGTCATCATCCGACCACCATCACCGGAAACCACCGACGAACTATTACGGGATCAGCTTCCACAAAATGGCTCTGTAATGATCACCAGCCTCAAAATACGACCGCGCTCGTTTCCGATACAACGTAAAGAGTCCGTCTCCCGACCTTACCCACCGTGTTTCGCGAGTCGTTCGTGCCGTTTCTTGTAACGTGTCCAGGGCGGGCTTTCAACTCTATCTCGCTATAGGTTGGACTATAAAACACTGGTGTGGGTGTAATTTTAAGGTCATAAAAATACCACCTTCCGTTCTACACCAACAAGGTGCACTCGGATACTCTGCGGCACTGCTTCTGTGCTTTTATGCGATCGAGGAAAACCAATGGTTCCTCGGTGAAATGTATTCGTGACAAGGCGGGACAAACCTAGCGGCGTTGTCTTCAATGAGGCATCAGCAAAAATTTGAATTGCGCGTTGTCAGCGCACACAGCTATGCAAATAGCCCAAGTCTCTCGAGAGATTGACGCGAAGGAAAGAGAGCGGAGAGGAAGCATGCGATTGCGTCACAGGAAGGAAACCCGGATCTGGAAAATCCGCTAGCCTACAGTCTTCTCCTTTTTGACGCTGTATCCAATGTCTGTATCGAGATCCACCATGAGTGCTCCTCCGTTCCTCCGATCGCTTGACTTCGTCCGATCTCTTAGGCCGAAGCTTGGGTTCGACATTTTCAGTGTTGACAACTTCCGCGGGGATTTCTTGGGCGAGCGCCCGTTTCGGCGGTTTTCGAAACTCGTGGAAATTCCCAGCGATCTCCGAGAAGTAAGAGAGCTCGAAATGAGAGCGGAGCTCCCTTCCGGTGAATTTTTTTCCATTTGCCGAGGTCTGTTGGGGAACATTCTACCGCGACTGAGAAGACGGAGGGTCCGAGAAAAAATCGGATCGCGCTGGGAGTCGTTTGCAGAACGATTCCCTCACAGCTCTGACCATGTTTTCCTCTGTTCGTTCCAGACGTCTTTACTCGACCTGAATTCGTTCTGAAGAAAACCCAGTTCAGCCAAGTAGTAGTGAGCCGGTCGGGTCTACTGCGCTTAGAATGGACGCCCTCGGACATGATCACGTTAAGCTTGCCAAAGAACTCGATCTATGACCTAACGGCGGACGCTTTTTCCGGGAACGAGCTCTCGCTCACAAGCCTCGATCTCAGCGACAACCGGCTGGCTTCGCTGCCTGAAATGGGCTCACTAAAAGCTCTTCACTGGCTGAATTTACAGCACAACGATTTCACAGAGCTTCCCGAAGGCCTCCGGAACACCAACGTTTCGACGTTATTTCTGTCCGGAAACGGAATACGATCAATCTCTCCGGAGGCTCTGCCCGCATCGCTGGTAACGCTTGACCTGGACGCAAACCAGATTCTCGCCATAGAAGGTCACCCGTTCCCCAAAGGCATGCGCGCCCTGAACCTCGGCAATAACATCATAACCGAAATTCCGGCGCATTCCTTCCACATGCTGGCGGGTCTGGAGCGTCTGTCGCTGAGTAACAATGTCTTCAAGAGCCTACCGAGTAGATGGCGTCTCCCCACGTCAATTCAGATCTTGGACCTGTCGCACGGATTTCTGCCGCAGCTGGAGGCCACCTGCATCGGGCTTGAGAGCGGCAGCTGCGGCCAACTGCAGGCTCTCCACCTGGAATACAATTTCCTCTCGACAGTAAATGAGAAGTCCTTCGAAGGAATGCAACTCCGAAAACTCCACCTCAACTCCAACCGTCTGATGCAGCTGCCGGACAGCTTATTCAAAAGTGAGTTCACAAAGTGTCGCGCGGGATGCGATGAGGAATTTCTCGGTGAATTTCACGCTTTTAGTAGGAAAAGCGGCCAGAGGAGATTCTCGGATACGCGGCGTGCCTGCTCGAGAGAATATTCTAAGACCTGTCACGTGCTTTTCTTACAGCCTCGCTTGCGTCCACTCTGCTGGTGTTGGATCTAAGCGAGAATCAGTTTTCGACATTACCCTCGTGTATTTCGGATCTCAACAACTTGACAGTACTAAGTCTCCGGGGAAACTTCTTGACATCGTTCGAACCCACGGCACTTTCGCTGTTTCTCAGAACACTTCAGGTGAGTGCAAAAAGGGAATCGATACGTGACACTCACCATTCCGCCTTGAAGAGCTTGGGAGAGTTGCAGAAAGAACCTCCGAGCCTGAACCGGAATCGAAGCGCGGGGGAGCAATGGGTCAGATACAGAATTCGAAAGAATGCACAGAATCGGAGGCTCGGAGCCGCTTTCGCTCTCCGGTGCCGTCGGTAGATCTTCGTCGAAGTGACCAGACGTCGTTTCCATTGGTTTCGTCCGCAGGTGTTGGACCTTTCCTACAATCAATTATCGACGGTGCCCAGCATCCTGAACTCGACCAGTGGACTATTACGCTTGAGCCTGCAGGCCAATTTGATCGAACGACTGTCACCGAAGGATTTCACAAAGTGGTCATCAACGCTCCGGAGTCTGAGTCTTTCAAATAACGCCATCAAAGTGTTGCCGAAACAGGCGCTGAAGCATCTGCTTCAACTGAAAGAGCTGAAACTGTCTTTCAACAATATCCAATACTACGACACGCTCGCTTTCGAAAACCTTGGAAATCTCCAAGTTCTCGAGATGTCTTCGACGTTGACAAGCGATGTCGCCGTTCGGAATATTCACAAACTCCTCGCACCTCTCAAACATCTGAAATCGCTCCAGGTCGACTATAATCGAATTTTCCAAACGCAGCCGTTCACCGATAATGTGGCGAACCTCGACCTTGAAGGAAACGACCTCAACACGATCCCGCAGATTCGTCCGACCTCGAGGATGTCACGTCTGTCACTAAGTTACAACAGCATTCATTATTTGAAGACGTCGGTGTTGAGAAACGTGTCGTCGCTCGAACAAGTGATTCTGATCGGCAACCCGCTCCGAGAACTCGAGTCGGAGGCGTTCTGCGACTTGAGGGCTCTCGTGAGCGTCATATTGTCCTCGAACCGGATCCGGAGCATCCAGAGGTCGGCGTTCACGAACTTGCCGATGCTGCAACGATTGCACCTCGATAACAATCTGATCCAACACCTCAACCTCGACATCTTGAGCGACAGCGGCAAGCGGCTCTTTCTGAATGCGTCCAATAATCAGATCCAGAGTGTTTTCTCCGAGGAAGAGAACAAAACCATCGATGTCCGGATACTGGATCTGTCGAACAACCGAATCGAGAAAATTCCACAGGAGGCCTGGACCAAGATGCCGGGTCTGGTGCAGCTCGTCGCTTCGAAAAACCGAATTTCCCACTTGGAACGATCTCCCCTGGAACTGTCCAAGCTCACGGTGGCGGATTTCTCAGAAAACCGTCTTAGCAGTTTGGCGGTCCTCAATTTGACTCGGATCGCTCCGGCGTTGGAGATGCTCAATTTGAGAGGCAATGGACTCGAGTCGTTCCTCTCGGCTGAACATTATGTGACCAACAACGCACCGTCTCGTCACTGGCCCTCGCTTCGGGTCCTGGATTTGTCGAGGAATCGTCTAGGGCGACTCGAGAGCCTGCCGGCCGCCCTGCAGATGCTCAACGCCTCGTTCAACCCGCTGAAAGAATTCCGAGCGGAAAACCACGCGACCCTCATGAACCTCGACGTCACGGAGACCGGAATTCATTCGGTGTCCAGCTTCGAGAAGTTCCATCGGTTGCAAGTTCTCAACATATCGCAACTCGTCCTACAGTCGGGTGACCTTTCGACAAAAGCTCTACCTCGAGATCTCGTTATACTCGATGCGTCCGCCACTAATCTCAACTCGATCGAACTCGAAAGCCCGAGAGTGGTCGAGCTCGATCTCTCCAACACGACGTCCAGCACGCGATACGTTTTGAACACACCGCTGCTCCGGAGCATAGATCTGTCGCGCAACGAGGTCCGCAATCTGTCGTCGCTGCTCAGAGCGGTCTCGGCCGAACAGCTTCGCGACCTCAACCTCGAAGCGAATCTCGTCGATAAAATCCACTCGAATCTCTGGCGCAAGTTGCCGCATCTGGCAAAACTCAACCTCAACTCGAACCCTATAGAAACCCTCACCCTGCACTCGTTCAAAGGCCTCGTGCATCTCAACGAACTCGACATGCGAAACCTGAGCTTAACACATCTCGACTCCCGCTGTCTCCAGAGCCTCAGGTCAGTGTCGTTGGTGGCGGCGGTCGTGGAGGAGTCGTCGGGAGTAGACGAGTGTCAGTCGTTGACGTCGCGATGCCGGTGGCGGAGTCGAGAGGAGTCGTACGAGCCCCGATCGATCATGATGTCACCGCGTGTGCGCGGTGGTTCTAGGTAATCGCAGATGTAGCGGGACTGGATGTGGGTCGTGTTTAATTGACGGATCGGGTGGCCCACGTAATGAATTTGCTACGACATCCCGCGATCGGGAATACTTTCCTACGAACGTGGATTTCGATGAGCGATTGAATACACGGAGGTGGACAGCAGGAAACGTTGATTACGTCCTCATCCCCGAAAATCTCCCAAAGGAATCCTATCGTGATTTCCCGCTGCAAGCGAAAAAAAAACGGAGACGAAGCGCGGCGACCGCCCAGTTCACTCTTCGGCGAGAATGTTGTTATTGGTCACTGTCGGCAAGTCGTGACCTCGGTTAATGTTCAGGCGTATTGCAGGGCACTTGCGTCACTCAAACTGTCGACGTACAACAAAGGTATCAGGTCGCTACGCTTGCAAGAACTGCTCTCGGACTCTCTAGCGCTCCGTCAGGTGACCGTTGAAGTGGAAGAGCCCGTATTGTCGTACCAACTGCAGTGGGCATTCGCCACTTCGAAGCTACGCGAGCTTCAAATAACAGGTACGTGTATGTGGACAGGCGGCGGGCAGTCCCGGAACAGAGTGAGTTTGAACGACGACGGTGAGGTTCGACGGAATAGAGTGCTTCCGAACGCGATCGGAGCGGAACCATATTCTGTGCTATGAATACTCCGATGAATGCGAAATACGGAGCCGTAACTCTCGCAAGAGCCCGCGAACCGCTGTTTTTCCCTGCCGAAAAGTGCCACAAATTGTGAATATTTGACAATGAGTAGAAATCTCGGTTCGGCCATCGAGTGAGTTCGGCTAGTTCTCTCGCCACGCTTCGCTTGCGCAGTCCAGCCGGGGCACCTGAGCGCAACGTACGATAATTCGACGCTCGGGATTTTAATCAAACAGACTCCCGCCTCATCGGGCTCCGTCGCGACTCCGATGCTTTCGGCGGAAAGGCGTCGGTCCCCGAAACATCACACAGCGAGCCATGTACGGAAAATATCAGCAACGTAAGGGGATTGAATCGTGGGAGTGCTGTGGGAGACTCGTCCTTGAGCGCCTTGGAGAGCTGCGTGAAAAGATGCGATGTCACTGAATAGAACCGATTTCTGGCCGTGGTATTGAAGGAAAGCGATCCAGGTCAAACGTCGTCATGACGAAACGGAAACGTCCACGAATCGCAGGCACGATACCTCTACGCATCTCCCCGCGCAGAAGAACCCCGAGGAGCTCTTGCGTACAGAACCAGCAGGCGAAGCGAGAGCGTCGGGAGAGCAGGTTTACCGAGGACAAAGGCGAGAGGAGCCCTCCGACCGACGGGGCCATCGACACCGCTGTATGAAGAAAACCGAAGACCGGAAAGGAGGGCAGGTGCTTCCTCCTGCTCTTCGGCATGGGTCGCCGAATCACAGATTCTTTTGGTGTTTGCTTGTATCGCCGGCAAAGTTGTCGATGGGGGCGTTTACGGCATTCTGACGAGTGACCGAGCGACCGTCAGACCGGTCGGCCCGTGGCCGGTCGACTGCCGCGCAATAAGTGCCAATAAGAGAATATTGCAGTGACGGAGTCTTTGTTACCGGCAGGATCGTCACTACGCTCCATCCTACCGGACGCTTTCCTCGGCCTGGAGAAAATGCACGAGCTGGTCCTGCGGATCCGACACACCAGCGTCACAGAACTTCCGGATGGTCTCCTCAGGTCTGTGAGATTGGATCGTGATCTTCTTGACGCCAGATTGGAACACGTGCCCCGAAAAGTCTAGACCTTCGCTGATTGCTCGTGCGACGGCACAACATTGATCCTACAACTCGTCGATCCGACATGATTGAACGCGAGGCGCTATCCTACGCGCGTCGGCATCGTTCTGTCATATGCCGGCCCGACGAGCGCGAAGTCCACGGGATTCTGGCGTCATTCCTGACTTTTTCTATTTCTTTCCAAGGTACCTCACTGATGTTCGCTTTCTGACGCTGGACCTCCGGTCGAATCTCCTCCAGAGTATCTCACCCCGGGTGCTGGAATCGAAGCGAATGTCTTACTCCAAAGGGACTCAATTCCTAGCAGGTGAGCCGCTCCAGTCGGATTTCGCGAGGTCACCGAGCCGACACACGGTGTCATCGGAGTCGCTCAAAAGCCAGCCTCAGCTGAATGAGGAACAAACTATTCGGGGAGAAACTCCTTCTCCAACAGATCCTCATTTTTTGTCGATTTTTTCTCGTATCGATTTTTTTTTTGCACCGTTGCCACGACACAGCTCATCGCGCGTTCTTCGCCATCTTCATTCAAACTCCTTTCCGCTCCCTCCTCCTCTCTTTCAATTTTCGTCTCCACCTTTGGTCCGGTCGGCTGCGGGCTCGGACACGGGCTAGATTGCGGACAAGCCGGCCGTGAGACAGTCGGTGGAGGCGTGGCGGATGGGAGGCAAGAGGGATTCCAACCTTCATTCGTGGAGTTGCCACTCAGACTTGAGTGCATCTGGCGATCGTGGTCGGCAGCAGCAGCGTTTCATATTTTCGAAGGTCTGCTACGGAGTTGAGTTTGTAAAAATGACCAAGTTCAAAACGCTCTCCCCATTCTCCTGACTCTCTCCATCCCCGAATTGTCTCGCGATTCCCCGAATCGGGGAGTTGGCCCGAGCGGGAGGGACAGAGAAAATCTGCTCAGTCATCGGGCCTTTCGTTCAGAGAAACGAGGAAGGCTCTTGACGATTCGTACAGACGCAGACGGGATGACAGGAAATTTTCGGGGCCCAAACCGACGAATCGAACGAACGGGTCTTCGATAAACAAGCATCCGACGAACATCATGTACGGTCGAAACTCCAGAACCCTGTTCCTGACTATACATCAGAACTATCGGAGAGGTGGTATTTTACGGTCGAGTCTGGCTCGATAATCCCGGGGCAGTACACGACGGAATCCTTCGAGCGGGGAACGGACTCGTTCCAGCTGTGAATATATCTTGAGTGTCTGTTGGCTTATCTTGAGGCCGATGTCCTTGAGGGACTCTCCTGGGCTTACAAGGTAATGCCATCATATCTGACCTTGGTTTGTATAAGTTTCTCTATTGCCTCCGTGGGCCGCCGGGGCCGCTCTCGCGATTTTTCCTCGAGCTTTCATCCCTTCTCTTACGAGGAAAAAATGATGGAACACTCCATCTAACGGCTGGCTTCCATTACCTCGTGATAATTAAAGCGCGAAACTCGCTTATGAAACTGGCGAAGAACTCGGGCGCTACGGCCGATGATGAAAATTATGACTGATGACGAGTGCATTCTCAACGAGCTCAAGTCGAGTTTCGGTGTTCTGTTTTTCCGCAGGTGGGATACGACTCGAGGACAATCCATTCCGTTGCGACTGCGGACTCGTGTGGCTTTCGCAGTGGATGCGCAGGTGGTTGCGAGAAACAGTTAAAGTTCAACGCTTTGAACCCGCGACCGCGCTGCAACTTCACAACATCGCGAGACAGTCCACCTGTCGACTCCCAAATGGACGGTAAGCTCAAAGTTACGACCAAGTTCGCGTGCGTGGCCCCAAGAACTGTGTTCAAGTTTCTGAGCGGGAAGATGAGTAATGGAAAACCTACTCCTCGAGCCTCGTATGAAGAGCCGCATCAGCGTACTCAGTGCTCAGTAGGAGAACGAGAGTGTATTCAACGCACCGGAAAGGAATCTCCGGCGCTTCCCTAGTTCTCTCCCTCTTTTTTTTTGCTGATAGAGAAATCTTCTGAGAAGCTAGAAAAAAGTTGAGGCATATACGATGCCCGATTCATGATTCAACGACGGAGCCACATCAGATTTTTTTTCACTCGGCACGTGTAGTCGTGATAGATATCAGATATAGAACTGCTTTACGGGCTAACGAAGATTTCGTTTTTCGGCTAGTGCTGTGACCTTGGTGGCGAGGTGAGCTACGATGTTTTATTTCTGTACTTCCAGGTCGATGCCCATCATCGAATTCTCATCGGATAACTTTCATTGTTCAACGACGGGCGCATCCGTGGGTTCTGCGGAGAGTATCGCGCCGTTCTGGGCTCTCCACCTGGGAGCACCCATCCTGACATGGCTCATGCTGTATCTGTAAATAAAGGAATGAATCAATCAAAATGAAGTGTGTATAGAAAAGCAATAAATGTTTCTACTGTTCATCCGTAAGTCGAAAAAAAAACCTGTCTCATCACCATTCTTTGCTTGCTAATTGTAATATTAGGTGAGAGTTCGTATTAGCGAAAAACTTTCTTCCGAAACTCAGTATTCAATGGATTGGGGTCAAATCGAAGAATAATTTCCTCTTACTTCTCGTTGGACCCTCTAGTCTCTAGTCCATTTGTTAGATCGGCACAATCGCTATACACAGACGCCCTCGTCTCGAACCTTCGTCATCACGTCCGTCCAATCCAGTCCCGCATAGGACGCCAAGCTTATGGAGACACAAACTTGATTAGAGCGAATACTGTCGACAAGCAAATGCGTCTCAGAGAACAAACAGGATTGTCGGTACTGAGGAGAGTGCAGAGAGCCCCTGCGGCCGCGATATGAGATAACACGTGGCTAATTAGGACATATTTGCACCGCTGTGTCTCGAGAGCGGCTTTCGCCGCGGTGACCGAGAAGGACGAACTATTCGAGGATGTTTATCAACATTAAGGAGATGTTGCGCGACTACTGTCACAAGGGGGATATGCTCAAGACATAGTTGCCCTGTGCGAACCCATGGGACATCTAGCTATACGTGTAGGCTGGGTCGCACTCCGAGCATTTCTACAAGAGAACTCTCGTCCGCGTGAAGTGTCTATGCGGCCATTCGTCCGGAGCTCGAATCTGTTCCGGGGATACCCTGATGTTCGATCTCGCGCGCTAAAACTGGACATTCTGCTCAATGTGTGTCCATTGAGCGTCGGACCGGAGGAAGAGAATTGCTCGTATTCGTTTCCGATACACCACCGGGATGCTCCGAGATTCTCGTTATCAGTTCTCAGTTTCGGGGTGATGAAGCGACAATAAAGCAAAAAGTAGTCGAGGTCGTCGATAAAAGAAATTGCAGTCCGGATCGAAGCGCGTCCCCGAGAGAAGGGCCGGAGAGTGACAGGGAGCGCCGACTATGCTGGACGACTAGCCGGCCAAGTAAGCGACTGGTTGGCTGGATGAACTGTTGGCTGAGCGATCGATGAGTTGGAGAGACCCGCTTTGTCATCGCACGTTGACGAATTTTGACATTTTCTGATTGAACTCTCTTTTTCTGCCGTATGTCCGCACTCTGGCGGTAACTCCAACCCGGGTCCGACCTACTTGCCCGAGGGCATCTACCGCCGACTGCTGCCATTGTTATCCGAGGGAATTTCTCGCTCAAGCTGTCGTCGGGAGCGCGAGTTCACGAAGGTGCCAGTAGCGTCTGAAAGAAGAACCAATCTACCTCCGAGCCGAGGGCTGAAGGAGGAGTTTTATCGTTCCTTCATCCGATTTGGCCGCCATGCTCAGCTACGCTAAGCCCGATTCAAACGATCCATCGGATTCGACGACTGCAATCAGGAGTCGTCGGAGATACAACTTCGACAACGACTTGACGTACTTCCATCGGAGCGATCAGTATTCGCGGATTCTCGCACGGAACCTCGAGCGGGAATTCGAGTCTACCCCGCACCCTCAAGGCGGGTGAGTAAGCATCGAACACGGATCTGCTTTCGCGTTTCCGTTCGGAAACAGTCACAAGTACGCGTAATGTTTCCCTAATACCTGTCGTAGACAAGAGGGAACGGAGCGGAGTATTGATTCGAGAGACGCGTGCACTTCAAACCGCCCACTCTTGATGAACCTCACGTCGCTTGTAGCACCCCTCGACGACATCGTGGCTCGTGGCTACGCGTGCTTCGTCTTTTTTTTTCTTCTCTGAGGGTATGCTTCGGATATTTTATTCAGCGGAGAGCCTACTACTCTGATTTCGCGACCTCACGTTTCCTGATCGAATCGGGTTTTCAGTCGATTCTCACGGATGCGGCATCAATCCGAAGCCGCAGGATTCGTTCAAACTCAAAAGCAGAAGCCTCACAGGGGATTGCGTCGCTTAATTCAACCCGTCTTCCTGCTTCGATCGCTCATAACGATCTCGTGCGTCGTGGGTTTCGTGTATCAGAGCGCTGATTTCTTTTTAGGCTTCTTTCGTTTTCCAACCACGACAAACATACGGTTCGTTGCTCGTCGAGGGTTTCGACTACCTAATACATATCTCGATTCTCTCAACCGGGACGGGAACACGCAATAAATCGCCGCCCGGGTAACGAAGAACATATCTTCTCTCCTAATAGAGCCCAACAATGATTTTTCAGCGTCGAATCGATGAAAGATTTGGTGTTTCCCTCTCTGACTGTCTGCGTGGCCAATTGGGTGAACCGTGCAAAGGTGGGGACAGTGAATCGCAACTCTCGGGCTCTCCGATCACTCAGATTTGACAGCCCTGAAAGGAATTGAGTGACTCTAGAATACCCCCGAATTTTCCCATCCGACAGGTTTGCGAGATGGACTCGTTTAGTGGATTATGTGGATCCGAACACCCGACCCCGAAACGGCTGATAGACGCTCTGTGGAGTTACAGACCAATCGAATCCCTTGCTTTCTCCACGCAGGTGTTTAGTCGAGCATTTCTTGGGTCTTCGAATCGAAGCGGAAATATTCCGAAACATGATATCGTTAATATTTTTTTCTGTCGGATCTGAACGGACTCGACTCCCTCAGGAAATCATTGGCCACTGTCATATGAAGCCGACATCGGGCTGCAAGCCTTTCGATTGCGATGACAACTGGGAGTTCGCCTATGCAAGGTAGCTCTCCGCACAATGCAAACTTCAGATTAGGGTCGCCGTGGGCGGCAACGCGCACTCCGTCTGGACATCACTGTGGAGCAAATGGGCCAAGTTCGGGAAGATATATCTTCCCGAACACGCGGAAATCCCCCAGAGGATCATCGCAGTGCTCAACCCGAAATATTCCTCTGACTGAGCCTGAAATCCCTCACCGAGTCTCGTTCCTCCGACCGCTAGATTTCCAGACGCCATGTGTTATTCTCTGGATCTCCACGCCATCTCGGACCCGGAACATCCTTTGAACAAGTGCAAATATCCCTGGGACTACGAGCTGAACGTCACCATGGGATGGGACGAACAGGACACGCTGCAGATCTCAGACATGTACAAGGCCGACGCTGTCTTGCACCAGGCACTCAATCTCAATCTCTGTGGATGAGCCGATATCGAGTATCCTTACCTTGTCGTCTCGCTCACTCACCCGCAATTCGGTCCCACTGCAGGTGGACACCAACTCCGCGGGTCAATCACATCCGCTGTTCTTCGAGCCGGGGGCCCGGTACATCATCTTAGTCGAGCAGTTTACAACCCTGGCATTGCCGCCGCCTTATCAGACGCAGTGCATCGAGTACAGTGAGCTGCCCAGATCCCGTATGTTCTACGGGACGACAACCCAGAATCTTTGCTACGAGATGTGCAAGACCGTTCAGTGGCAGGCAGCCTGCGCATGCGTTTCGCCGAGGTGAGTGTTTGTTACGCGGCGAAGATTTTTTCTAGATAACTGTCCGGAGTCGTCCTCGGATGACGGAAATTCGAAAATTGTGTAATCTGTAATAATCAGAGCGTTGTTTCCGCTTTCTATCAGGTACCCGTACCGCGATCGCTATCCGAAGGTGTGTAACCAGTCCGAAACAGCTCATTGCGCCAAAATCGATGTCGAACAGCAATTCACCGAACGCTGCATCAAGAAATGTCGCCAACCATGCAAGGAAGTCACATACGAGGTTCAGGTCACCGCTCAAGGTCAGAAGGAGGAGAAAACTTCGGCAGCCGATGCTGGTGAGAGGTTTGGCTCGGTGAGGCGTTCTTTTTTGCCTGTCTCTCTCGATCCGCTAATTGATGGCTGCGAGCAGCGTCCTGATGACAGGTGGTCACCCTCGACTTCGAATGTGTCCGTATTCAGTCTCTGTTAGAGGTCTAAGATTTTTTTCCTCGCTATCTCTGAAAAGCTGACAGCGGAGACGATTATTACGACGACGAAGGAAAGGCGACTGAGAGCTCGAACGACACCGAGGTCGCGATAGCCACGAGGAAACAATTCAGCCTAACAGTGATGTTCGCAAGTGAAAAACACACCATACTCCAACACATGAGGAAGTTCACATTCATTGAGGCGAGTCAGCTGCTAGGCGGATCCTTTCGAGTCTCGAGTTGGCGAGAATCCTCAATTTTCATTCGATCTGATCTCGGGCTATCTCTCTGAAGGTGTTCGGCTATCTAGGAGGCTATGTGGGCATTTGGCTCGGCATGAGTTTCTTCTCTGTCCTCGACGACCTAATCGTTTATGTGCGACTGAGGTGAGTTCGGTAATCTCGGTCGAGGGATCAAGTCAATTTAGAAACGGCGAACGTATCGTCCGCACGTGTAAAGGGCTATCATTCCGGAGAAAATTCTATACCTCGAATGTACCCTAAAATCCCGACCTTAAGGAACGCCTCGTATAGGGAGCTTCCCGTATAAGGAACCCCACGAATAGGGAACTCTCCGTATAAGGAACCCGGCCTATAGGGAACTTCCCGTATAAGGAACCCCGCCTATAGGGAACCTCCCGTATAGGGAACCCCACGTATAGGGAACTCTCCGTATAAGGAACCTGGGGGAATTCCCTTTTGGCAAAGTTTCTCATACAAAGAGTCCCTAAGGATGGGGTTCCTTATACGGGAAGTTCCCTATAGGCGAGGTTCCCTATACGGGAAGTTCCCTATAGGCGAGGTTCCCTGTACGGGAAGTTCCCTATAGGCGAGGTTCCCTATACGGGAAGTTCCCTATAGGCGAGGTTCCCTATACGGGAAGTTCCCTATAGGCGAGGTTCCCTATACGGGAACTTCCCTATAGGCGAGGTTCCCTATACGGGAAGTTCCCTATGAGTGGGGTTCCTTATACGGGAAGTTCCCTATACGGTGCCCATTTCCGCATTTTTCCGGTTCCTTATGGTCGGGATTTTAGGGTACATCAAATCCGAGGATTTCCCGTTGAAGTCGGTCTTGCCCGCGATGGAATCCACATCATGAAGTATTCCGAACCGTATGATAAGTAGTTTCAAGCTGATGAGTAGTGTTTTTCCAAACTTCAACCCAAGGTCGGTATTGGAGATATGCGGCCACCTTTCAATTCTATGCCCCAGAGGTCGCTCTCGCGGAGCGGATTCACCCCCTCGATCATCGCGGCGAAGCCTGATGATTTCTCTGCCGATAGACAAGACCCAACCCTCTCCAGTGGAGGGGGGAAGGGGTGGGTGCGATATCCTTCTCGAGCAGGGTCGTGAAGCCCACGAAACGCGAGTTTTCCTCACGGAGTGAGATCGCGGATAGAAGTCACGAGGCGAGACGCTCGCTAGCGTGAGAATAGCTGACGTGCATCAACCCGACGGTCGACGCAAATCTTGATCTCTGATGACTCTCACCCTATGGAAAACAGCCCGCGCGATGGAAATCAGAGCCGTCGAGCTCTCGATTCTCGTTACGGTTCCTCTCGGGAGTCGAGAGGAATGTAGCTGTAGAATTATTGAACTCTCGACCCCTGCCTTTCAGATTCCGAGCGAGGAAACGTGATCGAAAAGATTTGGATCTGAAATCTAAACAATCATCGAGAGCCAGTGGGAACAGAATTTCGCCTGGAGACAGATATTGAGAGCACCGTTCAGATTCACCACTCTGATGAGCAGGAACGCTCGCCATCCGTGGGGAAAGACACCGTCCTTACGCTCACGGACTGCTGATTTTCAGATCGAGAAGTCGGCGACAAAGACATCTACGCTGGGATCAGTTCCGACTTCGTTCGAGTTTCCTCACTCGATCCTTGTCCCATTTTCCGAAATCGGTGAAATGTTCTGCGTGGAATAAAGCCCCACAGGGCATTCGCATCTCAACGATCTGTGGCTTCCCGGTCTCGCTCCCGCGAAGAACAAAATTCGTTCGAAGCGACCAGTACTGTTCATTGCAGACACAATAAGTGCTGCAATGCATAGCATGGCTTCGAGATAACATGACTCTGTGCAAAGCTCTATGGAAATCCCCTCAACGAGGCAGTCCTGGTCGTTGCGAAATCAAAAACGGAAAGCCACTCGGAATCCCATCGAACGATCCATTGACAACGCCAACTACAAGCACCGTTAGCATCGATAGTGGTTCGATCACCTACATCCGTCCTCGGACGGAGAGAGGTTTCGAAAACGGAATGCGGTCAGCGAATCTATAGGCTCGGAAACAGATCCACTCGCCGTACCAGCGCGTTCTACGGAGCAGTGGGAAGGTTCTCGAATTGAATTGTTCTCGAATTGTTCTCGAATTGCTCTCGAATTGAATTCAATCCAGTCCAATTCAGAGGAGCATCATGTCCCAAACGTCGGAGCCGCCTGTGGGCCGACGGTCAAGTATCGGGAATCGGGCTCCCGGAGTGCACTCGCTCAATCCGAAAATCCAGGGCCAATCATCCCGTGCTCCTCCTCTCAGGCGCCCCATGTCCGAGCGGACGAGTAAATTCATTCCGCGACTTGGGGTAGGGTTATTCTTCCTCCAATGGATACCCGACGAATGAATTATGTGATTATTGTAATTTATCCTGTGCTGAATAGACTGCATGAAACCGAGCTGTGAAATATCTTGTCGGAGCGGAACCGTTTGGATAAGCTAGTCGACTTGCGCAGCGCTACACGGAGCCGAAAGGACATTAGCCGAGGCTGGTGGTAACTGCCGGACCAAACGTTGCTCGACACAGCACACTACGAGATACGGAGCAACTATTCACCCCCGCAGCCAACCAGCAAGAAACAAACCGACCGACCGGCCGGCCGCTCAGCCCCGGCACAGTCCGAGAACGGTCAGTAAGTCCGTCCATGAAGCCCGGGAGGTTCGGGGGTTCCTCCTCACAGCCTTAAACGTCTTACCAACGAATAAGGGATGGAGAGCTGCGCGGGCGAGGAGCTGAGTCGGGAAAATCCGGAGCGAGGTGGCCAAAACGAAGGAAGCTATATGAGTGCAGTCGAGGGTTAAAGTTATCCTTTGGGGCTTTGCGAGACCGGCGCTCTCCCTCCTTGATCAGCATGACCCAAGGAGATAGATAATCTGTCTGTGAAAAGTTCGAGAATGAGCCTCGAACAGCAATGGGACACATATTCAACGCACGTGATATCGTTTCCATCTTGTCGGAGCTCGGACGATCGACCGGTTCAGGGTGACACGAGCGGAGGGTAGAGAAAATATCGAGAGGGAGATCTCTTGACAATAAAATTCCATATCGGCTGGCCGATCGCGAACTTCCGGAAAATTCGGCCGGAGCCGGAAGTGCTTCTCGATCTCTTGTCAAGCAATACCTGTACTTGCTTCAACTGAGATTGTTCGGAGTGCACACTGCATTAGTTGAGCCCGGTCGATTTTCTTGAAAGGCCCCCCGAGGTTCAAAACCCATACGAATTAACGAACGTAGATTGTAAACGAGTGTTGTATCCTCTCGTTTTCCCAAGGGTCGCCTTGTTCACTTGTCGTTCCTTCGTTCGCTCGTCCGTCTAGACAAGTCGAGGAGGAAGCAGGCGAGCACCTCAATTTCGGCGAGCTCTCCACTCACTCAGCAGCATTGGTCAAAGGTCGATTGTCCCGAAAGATTGGACAAGCTTCCCCAGCTCTACAATCTTTACCTTTCTTGCTCGGTCTCCCTCCCAGAAAACTTGAGCACAATTCGGTTGATTGAGACCTCTCGTTGAATGCTCTGTCGGGATGGGGCATGCGGTCGCCGGACTGCTCTTTGGGAAGAATGAGAAGGAAAAAAAGGCGACAAGTTCAAAGTCGCGATTCTCGAATTCCTTCGTCTGAGAGCGAGTTCAGGATGAGAATGGCTCTCCCAGAGCCGCAGATCTCGACCCGGTGCGGGGGGTTCATTCTGTGAACCATTGGATCATTGCGCAGCGGCAATCAGAGCGAGAAATCCCGAGATAGTGATTCGATAACCGATTAAATACTTCGGTTCCCATTGGTGGGGAATGGGATCTCAGGAATCTCCCCCTGGGAGATAGGGGGAGCTCAGCTGCTCCCAAGATCTCTTTCTGGCCCTTTGGACTCCATGTTGAGGCTCATCATCGTTGGTTGGCCTCTACTACGACAATGGTCCTGCCCCTTGTCCCCCTTTCCCTCAAAAAAAAGAATCCTGGGCTCAGAGAATGCTTCTTCGAAGAATTGCACCGGTTAGCGATCCAAGAACTCGAACGAGTTATAATTTCGTTACATCCCCGATGATGATCTCCCGAAATGATTCGACGAGCTCGCTCCATGCGCCCCATCTGTAGAAGAGAGCCTCTAGCGGTCGACTCAGTCGTTGGCGGCCATTCTCAGACGATGGACTGAGCAAAGCCGACTGGCTTGACAGGAATCGTACAGAATACGAAACGATTGAGCTTCGGAAGACTTTAGAAGAATCCACCGGTTCAGTACCATAAATTATTCTCGGAATTCTTCTCGATCGGCTACGGTCGGATACTGCTGTCGCGCACCCCCGCTCGAATTCCGACGTCGGTCGGGCGGGGAGCCTCGAACCCGCGATCATCCGCCGCGACCTTCTGAGTAGAGCACAATATGGCTGCAGGAGCGATCCGATCTGGGCTCGCACGACTACAGCAAGCTCTCGGGATGTCAGACCGAGCTGACACTCCTTAATCAATTACACTCTGCTCAGAAGCCCCGGACCCTTGTTGTTTTGCGGGTCGCTCCGGATTGCGGGCCGCGGTTCACTTTCAGGAAGTCCCCTCACTCACTCAGTGAAGGTACGTGGTTCGTGTCTTCTCTTGGTCAGAAGGGGTCGCGGCGCTCTCCGCATCATCTCGACTTTCGACATCCGTGAAACAGCCGGTCCCTTCGGATTCTAACACGAGTGTTCGACCGTTCAGAAGCTTCGTGTCTCCATCGTGAACGTTTTGAGGTCTGCACAAAGGGAGTCTTCGCAATAGTTCGCGTGCTGTGCCACAAACCAAGTTCCGAAGAGCAGAGTGACAAATCAGGAGGCATCGTTTTGATTTTCGTTCCATCGCCTAGGAAATCGCAATGGCTCCCCCAGTTCTCGGAGACCTTGCTCTTGGAGATAGTGCTGTGCTTGCTGTGGATTCGGTACAGGAACATTTGGTCAGTCCCACCGGTCGTCCACTATCGACGGAAGGAATGGAGGCTTTCGCTGACGACAAGAAGTTCTCCTCGGTTCTGTCGCCCATAAACTCGCTGTGGAATCTCTTCCCCGTGGTCTTCATGGCGATGGTCCTTCTCATCTGGCTGTTCCGCAAGAAATTCTGGCAGATCTACGCATTCGTGGAAAGAGGGATC